GAAATCTCACTTCCATTTAGAAGCAAATTCTGAGGATAGAAATATTTATTGTCGAAATCTGGCAAATACAGAAAAATATAGAGGAGAGATATCAGTATGCTGCATTTTTTAAGTGCCTAGTGTAAGAAGACTGTGGGGGTGGGGGTGGAGGGGATGTTATATCGATTGAATTGTATGCCCCCAGAGTATGCATTAGAACACTAACTTCCATACCTTTGCGTCAGAGAGCTGACAGCTCAGCCGCTACCCAAGGTCGGTGACTGAGCCCACCAGCTGCCCCTAAAGAGGGAGGAGCAGTCGACCTCCATAAAGATTTACAACCTGGGAAACCCAAGGGGCTGTCCTGTAGGGCCACTGTGAGCCATCAACTGCAATGGTTTGTATTGGGGCCTTTATCATGGGAATGTAAAAAGGTTACCATGGAAAGAAACTGTACGGGAAGGGAATCTGGACACCTCTGCTATCTTTGTATCTTGTCTATACATTGGGAATTATTCCAAAGTTTTAAATTTTTTTTTCTTTTGTTCGTTTAAGTGCAACAGTTACTTTGGAACTTCACATTCTAATATCTGGGCTCCTTATGTATATTCTGAAAGAGAGCAGTGTTACAATGTTTCAAATTGAGACCCTGCAGGGGACGAGCCATAAGGGAGGATGTACGCAGGTGATCCCCATTTTAAAATGTCAGAAGTGGCCGCATTTTGATTGCAAAGAACCGTGAACCCTAAGAGCCACTGAATTTGGGGTCCAGTGCTGACTTTCACTAGATCCGTCTTTGATCAGCTATTTCTCTTTTCAGCACTGGTCTCTTCCCCTATACCAAAGACTGAAACCAAACTCACTGCCGTCGAGTCGGTGGTGACTCACCGCGGCCCCTTAGGACAGCAGAACTGCCCTGTGAGTTTCCAAGACTCTAACTCTCTTCGGGAGTAGAAAACCTCATCTTTCTCCCTTGAAGCAACGGGTGGCTTCGAACGGTTGACTTTGCAGTTAGTAGCCCAACTGGTAACCGCTATGCCAGCAGTGTTCCTGTCTTCTTTACCCGTAAGGGGGGCATATTTGCAGTTCTGCTCTGTCATGCAGAGTAGTTAAAATTGACTCCACAGCACAGAACCACCACTACTCACAAAGTCGCTGCTGTGACGACACTGTGAGAGTGTTAATGCTACAGCACAAGGAATGATTGGTTTTCTTAGAACTCTTGGTCACAAATAATAGATGTGTCTTCTAAGTCATTTAAGGCAACAGAAAAGTGAGGACGAGAATTCATTGATAGGATTCTGGTAAGCCTCAAGTAGTTTAAGAGAAAAACAAAGCAGTTGTCATCAACTGAACTTTGACTCGTGGCAACTCCAAGCCTCTGAGAGTAGCACTGTGCTCTGTAGGCGTTCATTGGCTGGCTTTTGAGAGACAGACCACCAGGCCTTTCTTCTGAGGTACCCATGGAAAGAATCAGCCTCCAGATTCAGTTAGCAGCTAAAGGCATTAACTGTTCACACCAGCCAGGGACTTCTTTTTTCAATTCTCACACTCATAGCCATTGAGTTAATTCTGACTCTTAGCAATCTAATGGGTTTCCCCATGGGTTTCCAAGTCTATAAGTAATTATGGAAGTAGAAAGCCTCATCTTTGTCCCTCCAAGCGGCTGGCGGTTTCAACTGCTGAACTTGTGGTTAACAGACCTACTCAATACCCATCACACCGCCAGGGATCTTTTGCTCTTTTTTTTTTTTTGCTTATTTTTATCAGTGTCACTGACATACAATTCACATATCATACATTTCAATTGCTCAATCACATTCCTAAGACTTGTGCCTCCACCGTCACCATAATCAATTCCAGGGCATTTCTTCTTCCCTCCGCCCACCACCACACACATAACCAGAGCAGAGACTATGTATGGGCCCAAGAGGGAGATCAAGTACAAGGTGTCAGATTTTGACCCACCCACAACTGTAGTCATCCACTCTCCAATGGACTGTCTGATACCACGGCCATTCCCACCGCTGGTCCACAGTCAGAGGGTCTTCCCCAGGCATTTCAAGGTAATGTTGACCGGTTTGGGCCTCAGGCTACTGAGGATCATGACTGCTGATCCGTGGTGAAGAGGACTCAGAAGGGCCGTGCACAGATCTGTAAGACACTGGTGCTCTAAGCCACTCGCTCTTCCAGATTCAACTACTGAGCTGGTCGATAGATTAGGTTTTACAGGCTGTATTAGTTTCTGAGATATAGCTGATTAATACGGCCCTTCTAGCCATAATCCCCTTCGTGATGCATGGGAAACCTGAGCCTCTAGGCCTGTGGTCATACCCCACTCTGGAGGGCCTTCTGTGTTACAGGATTAAGGTGGGGCAAAACTCTAAGGCTTCATTTTAGCGTAGAAGGTGGGAACTTTGTTTCCTTAGGGGTACAGTCTGCTGGAAGATACCTCTACAAAGCCATCTCAGAAACACAGAGAAGTCCAAGGAGCATTGTGAAAAGAGCCACCAGTGAGACAAGTTGGAGACCTCTGTGTGAAGTGGCAGCGGCCAATACCAGAGACACTGAAGGCTCCCGGCAGAGGGACCCTGGGACCGAGCAAAGGAGCCAGGCTGAGACCAGAGGCTGAGGCAGAGCCACAAGCTAGCTTCCAGGCCCTCGAACTCATTTTCCCAGTTTCCTGGGGTTAACCAGAAGAAACCATGGCAAACTAAGTGGCTTAAAACAAGAGACATGTGTTCTCTCACCCTTCTGGAGGCCAGAAGTTCAAAATCAGGGTGTTGGCAAGGCCATGCTCCCTTGGAAGCTCTTGGGAAGAATCCTTCCCATCTTTTCTACTCCTGGCCATCTCTGGCTCCTTTGCTTCTAGCTCTCTCATCAGTCCAGCCTGCCTCCATCTTTACATGTGTGTATCTCTTTGTGTCTTCTCCTCACCTGACAAGAACACCCGTCATATAGGACCAGGACTCACTCCCATCCAACAAAGAAGTCCTGGTGGTGCTGTCAGGTAAGCATTAGGCTGCTAATCACAAGGTTGCTAGTTCAAACCCACCAGCTGCCCTATGGGAGAAAGAGGAGGCTTTCTGCTCTTGTAAAGATTCACAACTTCAGAAACTCCATAAGAATCAGTTTAACACCCATGGTTTTTGGTTTGTTTGGGTTTTTTTTGGGGGGGGGGCCTCTAATCCAGTATGGTTGCATCTTAACTCGATCACATCTACAAAGGTCCTATTTCCAAATAAGGTCACATGCACAGGTACCTGGGCTAAAGATTTGGACATATCCTTTTGGAAGACAAAGGTCCCTGGTGCATCGGGGAGTGAAGCATGGGGCACTAACCCGAGTCAGCGGTTCAAATCCACAGGCCGACAGGGCTGTCTGCTCCCATAAGGATCTGCAGCCTCGGGGACCCCTCCGTGTGTTGTGCTGTGTGGCTGCTATGACTCAGAATCGGCTCGATGGCGGTGGGTTGGGTTTGGGGGTTTGGGTTTTGTTTCCCTGTTGGAGGACACAACTCCACCAGGTCCACGGGGATGAGAGTGTGACCGTTTGGTGCAGTAGCTGGGGAGTGGGAGCACAGCCCGCAAACCTCCCATGACCCGGCCCTCGCTGGCCTCTCCTCCTTATCCGCCCCTCTCCTTGGGCTTTGGTAACCCCAGACTGGTTCTGCTTCTTCACTTGTTCAGGCTCCTTTCAATGCCCACGGCTAGGATTTCTTCTCACCTCACGTCTTTCCCTCCACAGATGAACTCCTTGCCCTGGCTAATTCCTCCTCTTGTCTTTGAGGCTTGGCTCGTCTCTTACAATTAACATTTGCTGAGGGAAAGGAGGAAGCCTAGGCCAAGGGCGTGGCATGAAGCTTGGGTGGGAAGTTGCAGGATGCCTTCTGTGAGCCCGGAGCCAGCGCTGACTCCTGGGGACCCCCAGGGTATCTGAGGAGAACCTGATTCTCTAAAATGATTTAAAAAAAAAAAGGAGAAAGGAAGCTTGTCACAAAATTGATTGTGACAATGACTGTACAGCTCTTCTTGATATGAATGACCAATAGAATTGCTCGATATGTTAATTATAGATCAATAAAAAAAACAAACAAAAGAAGCAACCAAAGAAAAGAATCTGATTCTCGGTGCTTTTAGTTGTTGCTTTTGTTTGTTTGTTTGTTTGTTTGTTTCCCATCCTTCCCCCAAAGTCCATGGACAGGCCTGTCTCACGAGCACTCAACCCTCCAATGGCTGAGTTTTCAGAAGGAGATTGCTAGGCCTGAGGAGCCTCTGATTGGACTCAAACGACTAACTTTTCAGGGAGAAATCTAGTGCGTCCACCCAGGGGCTGATGGAGCACAGACCCTCGGGGAGCGGAGAGCAGGATGCTGTCAAGCTGTGGGGAGAGGAACAGAGCTATTCCTTCAGCCCAGGCAGACTTGGTGCTGCGCGGGTGGCACTTTGGCCATTTGTGGTGCAGCTTTTACATGGGAGTTCACAGGGTAACTTCCTCACGGTAGCACAAACAAGGTTGACAACCCCATGTGTGTTTCTTTTTCCCTTCTTGACTTGTAATGAGTTGTGTGCCAATGTAAAAGAGGCCTGGGCGACCTGGTTATGCTCTGGGCTGCTCGCCCTGCCTGCTCCGCTCAGGTCTAGGAAACCCACTGGAGCAGTTCTACCCTGCCGTGTGGGTTGCTAAGAGTTAGAATGGACAGGGGGCAGGGGGAGTTGGGTTTATGTCGATGCTGACCTAGTTTGCTGGCAGACCGCATTCTTTGCCCTTTTCCGGCAGAACAACTTCCCAGGTTTCTGTAGCATCTGACGGGATTTGACCCCAGGGAAGCTGTGGTGTGAAGGGTCACTTTTGTCTAGCCTTTCTAGCCCTGGTCTTGCAATGCTAACCAAATGATTGGGTGGGGTATGCAAATAGGGGGGGAAGGGGCATGGAAGCCTGATGAGGGGATTGGTCAGTTTTGCCATCCTGCTAGGCTTCACCTGAGCCATCCTAGGGGCAGAAAGGGGAGGCCTAGGGTTACTGAGAAGGAAGAACCAGGCGGGAGCCTGTTGTTTGGCTCTGGGGAGCTCCTGGGCCAAGGAGACAGGGAGAGATCCGTGGAGAAGGTGAGAGCAGGTGAGAAGCAGCCTGAGAGCAGGGGTGCTCCAGACCAGTGGGCACCGTGTGGTGCTTCCCAATTCTCCGAGTGAGAGAGCCAGCACCTCCGGGCAGGAGGCTCGCCGGCAGAGTGGAGAGCCTCTGGAAAGTACTGGCAGAACCACAGAGCTCTGAAACACGTGCCCAAGCAAGGCAGAGCCCAAGGACTATGGGAGTGAGAGGCCAAGGGCCAGATAGAGGCACAACCAGGAAGAAGCTATCCTGGCCAAACAACTGTATCTGCAGTCTCTCTTTATCCTGAATTCTAACCTGATAACCCCCATACTTGTGAGTATTGTTTGAGAGTTGTGTGGCCATTGCAACAAACTATCAAATAGAGAGAAGCAGAGAGTGTTATGAGAGAGACCATGGGTACCCGGATTGGTAATCAGGTTGGTGGCTAGAAGCATATCTGACTTCCACCTCTTAGGGATCAGCCTTGTGCTGTTGATCTTGATTCTCCTGCCCTTGTGCAATTAGGGTACACACCACCCCTACACCACTTTTACAGAGGTGCTGGTGGGAGATGGAGAGAGGAAAGGGGTCGAAGAGAAGCCCTGGCTGCATCAAGCGGGGTCTCCAGGTTCCACCCCTCACTAGGAGGGCCCACTGTGGCTTCCACTAACCCTGGGTCACCCCCAGCAACACTCGACCCACAATAATCGAGTCTATTCCAACTTACTGGCCCTATCAGACAACATAGAACTGCTCCACGGGGTTTCCAACGTTGTAAGTCTTCTCTCGAATATGAATTTTAATTATGCCGACATCTTTTAGACCACTCGAATAAAGGAAGTTTGAGAACACATTGGGATTTTAAGAGCTAGGATTGATGGGTAATCATTAAGACCCGAACAGAACACGTAAGAGCAAATCCCAAAGGTAAACCTTTCCCTTGAGGAATTTCGCTGCAGTGGGTATAACGTGAGCAGCAGTCTTTGTTGCTTGTCCGCCCCGCCGAGTGCAGCACTGTTTGAGATGTTCTTTGCTAACCATGCCAGGACTAAAATTCTGGTTTCTCTTTTTTGTAGGTTCATTGTACCATTTTGATAAGTCGACGTCATCTTGCATCTCTACCAATGCCCTTCTTCCAGATGCGTATGAATCAGAGAGGTATCTTCTTCCTGTGGCTTCAATTGAGGTTAATGGGCCGAGTGGCGGGAACTAAGATTCCTTCTGTGCCTTCTGTCAGACCAGAGTCGTGGTCAGACCAAGCTTTGCATTCAAATACTCTTTTCCTTTGGGAATCCTCCAAGTCAGTACTCGAACTTTCTCAGGAAGCCTGTGTTTCATATATCCTGAGGAAACGTGTTTTGCCTGTATTCTGCGGTAGGTTTTAATCTCAAAGGATCGTCCACCATTAATTAGCACACAACAGCTCACAGGCCCAGCCTGGACGGAAACCTCAGTAGAAAGAGCAGCTAGGCCAACCCGCCCACGTAAGTGTGCCCTTTCTTGAGGCTCCCCAAAACTCATCAGTGGGTTCCAACTCCTAGCAATCCTACAGGACAGGGTAGAAATGCCCCTTGCAGCTTTCTGAGACTTCAAATCGTTGCATGTCACACTCCTTGCTGTTCTAGCCTTGGCACTGACCAAAACACTTCTTCACTTTAAGTGGGCTAATTATGTAGGTAATGAAAGGTTTTCCGCCCCTCCACCTTCACACAGACAGACCAGTGGCATCAACTCCACCCTTCATGGTGTTCAGCCGGCACTTTGCCCAGATTTCCCGTCAGCCGTCATGGACACTCGGTGTCCTCCAGAGCAGAGAGCCCCCTTTCACCAAGATCGTTCCTGTGCCCACCAAGGGGGATAAAGGAAGCATATAGACCTTCCAGTTTCTGGTCCCATGAGCTCCCCTTCAGAGGGGCAAACCCTGCCCCATTCCGTTCTAATCTGCGTTGATGTGGTTAGGTGCCATCAGGTGATCCCATTTCCTAGAGCCCCTGCGTACCACCCTCTGCACAACAGAGCAAAACACCAAGTGAGGTGGAGAGCTAAACTCCAGTCCTGGATTCTTGTGTGAATTTCCCAGCATTCGCAGTCCGCAGCAGCTGGTCTCTTTATGCGGAAGGAGGCCTGTCGCCCCGAGTCAGTCTTCTCTGCCTCAGTCTTTGCCAGTGGGAGGCTTACCTCTGGCTGGCCTTCTGTGCCATCTGAGAACAGGCCTCTGCCCCAGGCGGTGGGGCCAGACCCAGAGAAGGGCCTCGTTGGGGAGGGAAGCTCCGGCTCCTTTACAGGATGGGCTTGGGCTCTCATTGTCCACAAACCCAGCAGCACCACAGCCACATGAAGGAGTCTTGGTGGCCCTGTGCGGCTGCGGCTGCGCCACAATACCTTCCAACCAACAGCGTCTCATGAAAGCAAACATTCTGTTTTACACTCAGCTTCCCGTAGGTTGGCCGAGGCTCAGCCACCTTGGCTCAGCCGGGCCAGGCTGGCCTCCAGGGTGCAAGTTGGGCTCAGGTCTGTTCCACGGGTCTTCATTCCAAGATCTAGGCTGGAGGAGAAGAACAGAGACCCTGGTGGGGGAGGCTGGCCAGAGCTGCCCTTGTCTCTTCACACCGCTGACCCGGACTAGTTACTAGGTTCTAGGGTGTTTTTCCTGACTTCCGGCTTTTCAACTCCAAAAAATCCACGTGGCAAAAGCCGGATCGTAAGTAAACATAAGCTTTTATGAGGGAAAGCTACGTTTGGATAGGACGTTCTCACGGACAAGAACTGGCCAGCTCAAGGATAGTGTGGAGAGACTGGTGGCCATAAAGCTTTATGCCCTTCTGCCCCAAGGGATCTCCTCCCACACCCTCAAGAGCTGGGAGCCGCATGCATTATGTATGTAACCACATGCATTATGTATGTAACCACACCGGCCTGTGCCCCGCAGGTCTTTTCCCAGAGATCTCTAGCATGTACTTCCTCTCCTAGGAAGGTCTTTTTTTTTTTTTTAAGGTCCTTTTATTTCTTTGGGGTTTGGCTAGCTATTCCTTGCTAATGAGTGGGCTAGGTGAGGAGACTACTTTTCCATTAGCAAAGTCAGGAAGGAAAGTGGGAAATTTGGTTCCCAGGCTGTCGGTTCCACAGGGAACTAGCAAGCTCTGAGCCTGTGTGGTTTGTTAGGGTCCAGAGATAAGCCATGCTCACACAAACATGCACCCACAGCAGCAAAGAGTTAAGCCACAAATTTAATAAAGCATAGAGTCACTTCAAAAGAGATGGAGTGGGTCCCCCTCGAGTTGAGAAATATATCTTAAGCATCATTGAGATACCCTTTCCTCTGGGAGCGAAGTGGGTCACCACCACCACCACCCCCAGCGCCCCCCCCCCCCATGGTCCATTAACCTGGGGATCTTGTCTAGGGGGCACTCTAGTTTTGATATGGCACTTTCAAAGGGGAGGGGATGGCCACTTTGCAGATGGTCAAGCAACTTTCTAATTTTATCAGTGTGGATGTAGACCGGGAAACCATGGTATCAGTCGACCAGCCCACAAAATAAGCATAATATTGCTTTGGTGGGGGAAAGCAACCCCAAGTTCAAACATATTTTATAGACATGTTTAATAAGTCCTCCACAAGACAAAAACAAAAATGAATCGCATAGATGAGGGAGACCATAGAGGTGTCAAGATCCCCGGCAGCATGGCTGCTTAAATAAGCCGTAAGCAAAGGAGATTGTCACAAAATCAGGAGACAACAGATCTGTCCGTTAAAGTCCCAGCTGAGATGACAGAAGCAGGAAAGGGACCATGGATGGGATGCAGATTAGAGACGTTTCTAAGATTCGATCGGGACTCTTTAACTTCCTTGGCTAGAGAATGATCCATGACCACATGGCCCCATCACTGACTCTAGTATGTGCTCGCTCCCCGCCCCCACCTTGCTCACTGCTTTCAAGTTGATTCCAACTCCTAGTGAGGCTATAGGGCAGAGGAGAACTGCCCCTGTGGGTTTCCTGCAACTGTGAATCTGTAGAGGAGTAGAAAGCCTCATCTTTCTCCTGCAGAGTGGCTGGTGGTTTAGAACAGCTGACCTTGCCATAAGCAGCCCAACACGTAACCCAGTTTTAAGTCTCTCCCACCAGGGCTCCCACAGTTTCCATCACGCCCAGGCAAGTTCCTGATGGCTAGATGACCCCTCCCTGGGCTGGCCGGGGGAGTCTTTGCAAACACCTCTGCCAAAGGGTAAAGTTTCACATTTCTGTTCAGTGGTCAGAAAGACTTCAGTGGGGGCAAAATCTATGTGGAAATTGAAATAGATGTAGAGGCTCCCACAGTAAATCATAGCCCCCAGCAAGCCTAGCACTCAGAACTTAAGCTGGAAGACAAGATCCAAGCCACAGAAATGACCGATGACCAGTCTCAGGTGCATCTCCAGAATTGAAATAACTATTGAAGTATTGCCTCTTGTGTTAAACCTAGCCCCACAGTCATGTCTAGGGGGAAATCATCACAGGATTTTAATAGTGGGGAGAAAACCAAGTTTTATTCGGCAGATGAGTCGAAGAGAAATGAGATAGGGGAACCAAATTGACATACCATTAAGGCTCTGTCTAACTGAATCCTAATAGCCATCTTATTAGCAGGTGAATTTTAACCACTGCTGCTAAAAATGACATGACTCTCGTCCTTCAAGTCCCAGTGCCAATGTATTTTTTTCCTGCCAATGTTGCCAGCACTTTGCTTCCTCTCTTCCTCCCTCATTAGTAATGAGGAACTGGCATGTTTTAATTCAGCAGCCATCATATTTTGCAAATTGATTTAGAGAATAGCATATCAAATCTTTAAAGTCATTATTGTGTTTTGTTTTGTTTTGTTTTGTTTTCCCCTCCCATTTAGGGTTTATGTTGCTGAATCTCTCATTTCCAGTGCTGGAGAAGGGCTGTTTTCAAAGGTAGCTGTGGGGCCTAATACTGTTATGTCATTTTATAATGGAGTCCGAATTACACACCAAGAGGTGAGTGGGATAGCAGTGGTAAACCGATTAGATTGGTTAAAGGCCTTTTTGTCAAATACTCTTAGGATCCCTGGTGGTGTAGTGGTTACACATTGGGCTGCTAACAGCAAGGTCAGCAGTTCAAAACCACCAGCCTTTCCTCAGGAGAAAGACTAGGTTTTCTACTCCAGTAAAGAGTTACTGACTCAGATACTCCAATGTATAAAAAAGAGAAGTGAACAAAGAAGAGGGAGAAATGATAAAGATAATTTATTCAGGAGGGAATGGTGTTCAGTTAGGAGATTAACATTGGGAAACTATGGGGCTAGATGATTGGAGGGAATAAAGAACTGGAACAATTAGGATTTGAAATATGAAGGGATCCATCTTGGCAACGTGAGACAAGGGAGAATTCAGACATTAAAGTTAGAGATTAAGAGGAGAACTCCTGAACCGAGAGCTAGGCACACACACACACACACACACACACACACACACACAGGGAAAGGGAACGACCAATAGGAGATGAATACAGAGCAACAACCAGGGCACTAACTTAGGAAGAGTCTACTCTAAAGCTGTTTTTAAAATTCTCTTCATCTGGTTTTGTTTTTCCAAATGTCAGTCATTGATTAGTATTGTACCATGTGGTTATATAGGTACAACCATTCTTGTTTTGAAGGATAAAATTGTTTGGAAACCACTGCCATCAGGTTGCTTCCAGCTCCTAGTGGTCCGATAGGAGAGTAGAACTTCACCTCTGGGTTTCCAAGGCTGCGTGTAGTCCTCAAACAGAAAGCCTCATCTTTTGCCCA